CACAGAGAGTGCAAATCTTCGGGAGTGGTTTTATATGAGCGTCACTGAATTGTTTCCAATATTCAGCTCCTCATCCTGTCGGGTTGGTGCGGGTGGACGGACAGACAGACAGACAGACAGACAGACAGACAGACAGACAGACAGACAGACAGACAGACAGACAGACAGACAGACAGACAGACAGACAGACAGACAGACAGACAGACAGACAGACAGACAGACAGACAGACAGATGGATGGAGGGACTGTGCTCAGTGTGAGAATGCAAACAGCTGAGCCAAAGCCCCATCCTCCCCCCCCCGGGCCCGTGACCTTTTTATCCCCACTTGCACCTGGCGGGAGCAGCCATCATTCATGTATGTGGCCTCGGAAACAGCTGCAGATCTGACACTGTAGTTAAATTTAAAAAGGGTGATGCAGCCCTACGTGTGAGGGTGGTAAATTAACCAAATCAATTGCTGGCCCGTCACAGACTGGCTTTGAAGACAAAAGAAAAATAGACTTTTCAGAGTTCAGGCTCGCAGTGAGTAAGCCAGGTCTCTTCTGCTGAATGCAATGAGGTTTGTGCAGAAATCTTTGCAGAATTGGGGCACGGGGAGCACGATCTGCCGCTGTGACTCGCTGCGGGTCAGAGCTGTGGCCCTGGCTGTGTGTGGACCAAACTACAGCTCCCTCGGACCTGCTGGCTGAGGAAGGGGCAAGCACATAGGCTTTAGGGCAAGCTGAGTGGGGTTGTTCGGCCACGGGCAAGGAGACGAGGAATTGCTGTTATCTCATCCTCTGCAGTGGCAGCAGCTCCACGAGATCCGGCTGAGGAGCTTCTACAGGGGCTGGGTGGTGCAAATGGTTGCAGTTGAGATGTGTTCTCAGGGTAGATTGATGCTGCAAATCCTTTCTCAGCACAGAAATACCTGTATTTTATTCTGGGAGAGCAATTCCTAGCCTGGATCTGGCCATATGCTGTCCCCTTGCCACCTGCTGAAGTGCAGATTGCTGCCAGCACTGTATTTCCTGCAGCCTTTTTTTAGCAGAAACCTGTGAAGGCAGCTCTGAGGAACCTGGCTATCCTGGCTGCACTGGAGAAATTGTTGTTTTCCACTGACCTAAACACAAGGAAAATCTATTTATTATGCAGGAGAAATGCCAAGGCATCCGATTTAGTGCTTAGTGACATGGTTTAGTGACGGCTATTTTATCAGAGTTGATGGTTGGACTAGATGATCTTAAAGATCCCTTCCAACCTAGACAATTCTATGATTCTAGGATTCTGTCTTCAAAAACAAGCAATTCTTAACAAGCAGAGCAAAATTTGAAATAAAATTTGTCAATTTGTAAATGTTTGGTAGCATGGCACTGTAAGAGAGCAGATGGAGGGGTAAAAGGGGTTTGGGTTTTTTTTGCTGTGTCTAACACCTCCTTTCTACAGCACTCATCCCCTGTTTTAAGAATAACGCCTTTTCAATAATGACTCACAGCCAGTGCCACAAAAATCCTGGCTGTCAGAGAAACTGCTGGTCGTCTGACAGGAGAGCAGCTCGCAGGGAACATCCATTTATTCTGTTTGTCTCTAGTGCAACTACAGCTCACGGATCTTCTTCCTAGAAAAGGGCCCTACTTAGAGATTCCAGGCACAGGGCAATTATCTGTCTCACTCAATGTAATTAATAAATGTGGTTTTCTTCACAGGTACCAAGGGAAGCTGTGCCCATCGTGGAATGGACCATTTTGTCCAGAGCAAGGACAAGAAAATCCCCTGTGAAGTCATGCCTCTCCTCTGGGAAGACGGATAAACCTGTGGTCTAGGTGTAGGGACTGAGATATTCCCCTTATCCCTCTCTCTCTCTGCTCATTGGAAAAGAAAGAAAAAAAAGACATCCTCAGGAATAATTCAGCACAGGAAGCTGGCAGAGCTAGAGCCCTCTCACCTCACAGAATTTGTGGTTATGCGTAAAGTTAAGCCTTAGAAAAGGAGCAATTCCATCCCTCCTGGATAACCTGGAAGTATCCAACCTGCCCCGTGCAGCGCTAATTCAGCACAGGAAGCTGGCAGAGCTAGAGTCCTCTGTCACCTCGCAGAACTTGTGGTTATGTGTAAAGTTAAGCCTTAGGAAAGGAGCAATTCCATCCCTCCTGGCTAACCTGGAAGTATCCACCCTGCCCCGTGCAGTGCCGTGCCCGACGGAGCAGCTGGGCAGCTACAAACGCATTTTCACAGAGTTATTGGAGCGGGGAATTGTGGTGGGATTTACTGGGTCCTTCCCCCGGCTCTGCCTTTGATTTGTGGTGTGTACAGACCCCTTAATTTGCCTCTGTTTTCCCCATCTGTGAAACCCAGATAAGATCACAAGGGAATTGTAGAGTGTGATTCATTAATGTTTATTAGACAGAGGGAAATCCTTAAATGAATGGCACTGTATTCCAGGAGGACAAAGTTCAAGGCTGCAAAGAGGTTGATTAAAACCAAATCTGCTGTTGCTGGGCTGGAAAGACAAAAAGAGAAAATTGAAAAACCTTACCTACCCCTATGCCTGCCAAAAGTAGTATGTGGTTTAAATAAAATCAAGCAGAACGTGCAAGTGTGCATGCATTCATGCATACATATGTATCTAGGAAAACCATCAAATAATTATTAGCAAATGGATACCAAAAAGTGTAATGAGAATGTGTTTGAAGTTTCCAATAAGAAATAATAAAGTGGTGTATATGATCAGCACTAACTGAGTGAGTTACTAGTGGCCACACGGCATTGTGAGGCAGTAAATATGATAGATATTCATGAAGGGATGTAACAACTATAGGGCGTATTGGCACTTTCCATTATGTACATTACATACACAGCCATTATGTGTATGAAGAGAGCTATAGATTGGTTTCAGCAATCTTACTGCTAGGCTGACATGCTTTTCATGCTTACAGCCGAGCATTTAAGTTATTTTAGGTAATTGCTGCTGGACAGCCTGAGGCAGAAATGGAAGATTTATATACCTTAGCGTTATTCAAAGTAGGAATCCACACATTGTGAAAAAGATGAATGTGCAAAAGATTTGCCAGTAGCTGATGGATTGTTTATGCACCTTTTGGAGAAGGGATTTGTCTTTTTTTTTTTGGTCAGATTGTTGCCAACATCTCACAGCAATAAACCCAGAGATGTACCAGGCACTTCTCGCGGCTGGGGTCCTGTAGTGAAACAGTTACTGCAATGTTCTCTTCTCTCTGGGTACATTCGTAAGGAAGGGCAGAAAAACAGCTTATCTGCCCCGATTTTACGGTGCCAGTTTGTAGGCAGACTAAACAAATATTTAGAGGTTAGACATATCTGAAGTTGGCAATGTCAGGGACTGATGTAATGTTTTCCAAGCTTCGGAGCGTGTTGTTCGGAACTTGGGGATCAGCCCTCCCCGTGATGCCCATGCTGGTGGGTGGATATTCCCCCCATGTGGGGTAGAAATCGAGGTGATTGGTGGTAACTGGAGTGGGTAGCTGGCCTGAATTCGGTCCTGGGATGAAGGCAGATTTACTGGGTGCTTCTTGTCACCGATGTAACCCAGCAGAGGGTGAAATCACAGAATGGTCATGGTTGCAAAGGACCTCTGAGATCACCAAGTCCAACCATAGACACACACACACACAAAAATCAACCCTACAATCTCAGGCACTAGAGCATGCCCTGAAATGCCACATCTACACACTTCTTAAACACCTCCAGGGACAGTGACTCCACCTGTCCAGTGCCTGACCACTCCTTCAGTAAAGTAATTCTCCCTAATATCTAATCTCAACCTCCCCTGCCCCAACTTCAGACCGTTTCCTCAGCTCCTGTCATTATTCCCTCGGGAGAAGAGGCCAACCCCCACCTCCCTACAAACCACCTAGTTCTAGAGGGCAACGAGGTCCCCCCCCTCAGCCTCCTTCTTCTCCAAACTAAAGATGCCCAAATAGGTGCGTACACAGGGAAACAAAGGTGGTGATGTGCAGACAAAGGAGCGCTTTAGCGGTGGCAGCGCTAGGCCCGGGCCGGGCCTGCAGGCCGGCTCCTCACTCCCCGCTCCCCGCTCGCCACCTTCAGGCCGCACCCGAACTCACAGCCGCTGCCGGGAACCTTTCGGCCTCCCTAAATCAACCCCGCTGGGTTTTATGGAGCTTTTTGTGCCCCTTCCCTCGCAGCAGCCGGCGGCCGGGGGCTGGTTTACCTCAGGAGAGGGCGCCGCCGCTGGGGCTGGACTGTAGGCCTTTTAGGCCTCGGTTTAACTGCCAGGCCCGCGGGCGGCACAGGGAGAGGTGCCGCCGGGTTTCCCTGCGCTGACAGCGTCCCTCGGGGAGGAGCGAGCGCCGCTGTGAAAACCTGCAGCGGATTTGGGGAAAAAAATAGCACGTTTGGCTAACGAAGGCGGAGGATGCTGAGGGGCAGGAGGCTGAGGAGGGGGCGGGGTCTGAGGGGTGGGCGTGGCTCAACGAGAGGGCGTGGCTTAAGGGACGTGTGTCGGGGCGTGGTTTAAGGAGGAGGCGTGGCTAAAGGCGGAGCGTGGCTTGAGGGCGGTGCGTGCAAAGGGGAGGCGTGGCTTAGGGGCGAGGTATGTTGATGAGGAGGCGTGGTTTAAGGACGGCGTGTCCACAGGGAGGACGTGGCGGTGTGTTGAGGAGGCGTGGCTTAAGGGCTATGTGTGTTAGGTAGGAGGCGTGGCTTAAGGACGGCGCGTGTTAATGAGGGGCGTGGCTTAGGGGCGAGGCGCGTTGCCGAGGAGGCGCGGCTTAAGGAGGGGCGTGGCTAAAAGGTAGTGAGTGCTGAGGAGGAGGCGTGGCTTAAAGACCGTGTATGTTAATGAGGAGGCGTGGCCAAACGACGGTGTGCGTTCAGGAGGAGCGGGGCTGAGAGGGGGCGCGGCTTAAGGACGGTGTGTGTGAAGGAGGAGGCGGGGCTTGAGGAGGAGGCGGGGCGTAGGGGCTCGCGCCTGCCGTTCGGCGTG